CCATTTGGATTTGATTATTCAGTGTCAGTGTATAATCGAAATCACAATTTTTATTATTTGATTACTTTCATTTGTATTAAAGGCACTCTGTGTTGTGTCTAAAACATTGAAGTTAATAATGGTCGTTCACGTGTACTCTTGTTTCAGTCTGTAAAACTAATTGCAACAGATTGTCTGTAAAAAGTAACCTATAATATCCATGTTATAACTGGCCTTCGGCAACTAATGCTGGCTGGGCTCTGATGTTCTTCTAATGCCGTGGATCACAGCCTGAAAGTAATAAAGTTCAGTTCAGTTCAGTAAAAGCCATCCGACGGGATTGGTTAGTCTTGCGCGGTGACTTGTTTGATGTTTGCCATCGTATCCCTACTGAGCGAGTGCGGGTTTAGTTTTACGCCGCTTTTAGCAATATTCCAGCAACATCACGGCGGGGGACACCAGAAATGGGATTCACACATTGTACCCATGTGGGGAATCGAACCCGGGCCTTCGGCGTGACGAGCCAACGCTTTAACCACTAGGCTACCCTACTGCCCCTGTATCCCCACTGAATAGATGACATTGTCAAACACTGGATTGTTTGATCCAGACACGATATCATACAGACCGTGGTACTTTCGATGTAACATTTGCGGCCTAACACTTCAAATCTAGAATAAAGTCTTGATCTACTATCTTGTCGTTTAGTAGTTTTTTGTGGGGCTTGGTACAATATGCAACCACAGAAGGTCTTTTCTCGAAAAATAATGTTTAAATATCAAATAGCATTTCGGTTATTTCTCTCCTATGTTTCAGTCTGGAAAGGTCATATTTGTCGACGAATGCCGTAATAGGACTCCAGCCTCGCACCCATCCAGCAGAGCGAAGTCACGTGGGTCGCAGTTACGTCATTCCCATCATGCCTCAGGGGAATCTGCCAATGATAATGGGAACGTACCAAACAGCAGACCCGATTCCCAAAGTGTGGAGTTACCTCCCGTGAAACGACCAGGATATCACACGCCACGACACACTCCTAGATACACCCCTAGATACACCCCTCATGGCAGGCGGCAGCTGGGACCAGACAAGGCGGCAGCACTGAGATATGGCCTGCAACAAGACAGAGGGTACCTCATGCATCTTCTTAGGGGCCCATGTGAGTATATTCAAGTCATACCATTCAAAGTCCTCCGTACCTCCCTAGACCCTCCCCGGGGAAGATAATATGACCTACTCAACGTACACAGAATGTAGCTTATTCACATAATTAACTCGTTAATCTAACACGTGGTCATAAGTATTGTTGCGACCCGTTTCACCGACTACCCGACAGCAATGTGACGACGAAAACACATTCAGAGTTGTCTCCCTTTCATTACACTCGGGGTAGGCTCGGTTCGGTTTCTAGATTATAATTGTTATATATTCATTATGATACTAGCAGAAAAACGAAGAGCTACGAGGAGTTTTAGATTATGTACCGAGTGAGTATATGTTGTAGGCGAAGAGGCTCGTCTGTTCTAATTTCAATGTAAGTGTGGAGCAGAAACTTCTCTCACGGAATAAGACGGACAGAGCTGTGTGAACACGGTGGTTACCATCTATTTTCATAACCAGTGCTTCAGCACTGTCCCTTTAATACCACAATAACTAGACGACACACATAGAGTGTCAGGGTGCAAGACCCATTGACCCGTATGCAGTCACGTCCACTCTAAGTCAGGTCTGATCACTTACAATATTGATTAAGTTACAAACAATAGAATGTGAATTACCCAGATTTTGTATATCTACACCAATCAAATGTCTCCTAAATGAACCTCCTACGGTTATTGTAACTAACAAATTTGCTATGTTGTATCTGCGTTTGTTCTTATATTATTTAATAAAGTAATCATAGACTTTATGTTAGGCCAATACCTGTTTTTATGGACCCGGAAAAATGCAATATCGATCTCGGGATCCATAAAAATCAGCCATTGAACTATTGTTAAGTTTATAACGATATAATGTGTGCTTTCAAATGTACAGGTGATATTGTGTATTCGATCCCGGAAAGTGTAGCGGCGTTTGTGACAAATGAAATTTCCGGGGACTCATGGAACCCTGCAAATACATACTGTTCTTCTAAATACATTCTTTTTGTGACATAAACACGAAGAGGAGGAATGTTGGGATTGGGAAGATCGATTTCAACTGATCGAGTCACGAGATAATTATATAATCAAATACAGTGCTTACATTATTACGACATAACATTGATTATTTTATGATAACATGCATTACTGCATTGTTGAACCGTAAAGATAAGGATTTGCATTGGTTTCAACAACCCATTCTTGTCGTAAGAGTCGACTAGCAGGATCGGATGATCAGACTCACTGACTTGATGCATGTTATGGTATCCCAGTTGAGTAGATCGATGCTCATGATGTCAATCACAGAATAAACAGTTCCAGATTCCAATATTTTCAGACTAATATTTATAGCTGGACTATTGCTGAGTGCGGCGTTAAACTGATCTTCAGCAAATGTGATCTTCAGCAAATCATACTTGTCGTATGAGTTCAGGCTCGCTGATTTGGTTGACAAATATCATCTTTTCCCTGTTGATGATCGATGCTCACGATGTCAATCACTGGCCTGTTTGGTTCCGACCGCTGTCATATATCTGAATATTGGTGAGTGCGACGTTAATCAAATAAACAAACATTATTACAACAAACGTCACGTTCATGTAAAAATGGAGGCGTTGGTGACCAAGCAGCCTAAAACACCCCCGATTCACTCACTCATACACCACACCGCCACTCACTTTGACGGGTAATAACGTGTTATCACTTCTTCAGGGCCGACCAGAGAAGCCTGGAATGACCAACCAATGGACGGGACCGACAGACCGTGGACAATTCAGGTAGTTCAAACTTCAGTTACCATAAAAAACAACAAAAAAACCCAAAAAAACCCAAACAAACATTTACAAGCCCAGGGACCTGCAAATCCGAACAGTGCGGTTCCTGATGAAATAATCCGGATTTGGAAATACCCGGAATAACTGATCATGTATAAGGAATAATGTTCTGAAACATATCGAATTGAATGAGTGAGTGAGTGAGTATTGACAATACCAAAAACACTGGTTTCGTGCTTGCCCAAGGGAAGCAACTCTGCATGTGGCTGCGACGCCGTGGACGAGGGGTCCTTAAGATATTGGAGAGGTTTATTTGGATTAACGCAGTTTCGAATTGTATGTTTAGTATCACCATGGCGTGTCAGATAATGTGCGAGGGAAGCCACAAGTTATGCAGGTTAGAATTGATTAGAATTGGTCTTCAGCAATCCATGCTTGTCGTAAGAGGCGATTAACTACATCGGGCTGGTTAGGCTACCTGACTTGGTTAACACGTGTCATATCCCGATTGTGTAGATCGATGCTCATGATGTTAATCACTGGATTGTCTAGTCCAGACTCGATTATTTACAGAACGCCGCCATATAGCTGGAATCCTCCTTAGGGCGGAGTTAAACAACAAACACAAATATATCTTCGAGCATGACTCTGGTGCTGAAAGCCTAGAAACACAATCAGAAAAACCCCACCTACACCCCATCCTCGATAACCTCGAGTGATCGTAACGTATACCCTGGAGATTATCGAGGATGACCTACACCCCCTACTCACTCAATGATTGGAAAGCAAATACATGTGATGCATTATTGATGGTATTACAGCGCGGTGCGCACGGCAACAACACCCGTGATACCAGCGACATTGACTACACCACGACATCTGGCGACATGGGCTACCTCGACATTGATGATGCGAGGCTCAGACGTTTGCTGGAAGAGCTGTATGGAGACAAGAAGTACATGGATGCTCTTCTTGCTGCCGGAGGTAGTCACTGATGACTTCATTCCCGAGAATATTGATGAACGTATTTATGTATACTGGACAAAATAAGTTACGGATATTGGTATTTTTATGATTGATATTTTATCAGTGTGTCAATGAAAAATAGATCATTATTCATAATTTCAAAATTAACATATATCCCAAACTATTTTTGTCCAGTATATCTAGTTATTTAGCCCATGACAAGGACTGTTTCTGTATGGCATGATTATTATTCAAAATATATGAGAGATTCGGGGTTGTCGGATGCTCATGATTTTGATCACTGGATTGTCTGGTCAAAATTGGAATATTATAGACCGACGCCACATAGCTGGAATATAGCTGAGTGTGGCGTTAACCAATAAACAAGTAAACAAGTAAACAAGGGTTTCGGGTTATTATATCCCCTGATATGTCATATGTAAAGACATGTAATAATGTATTCATACATGACATTCCATTGGTTATATATAAGTACTTTGCTCTCCTCGTCAGGCACCCATGCGTTTTGGTTTCAATCCATCCTACAAAATATTCGACACTAACTCTGGGTCTACATTTTCTGGTTCGTGTGTAATTATGATTATTATTACAGAGACGTCTTCCAAAGAAGAAGTTAAGGCCCTTGCGGAACATGGACGGAACTACTTGCTGCAGATGGCGCTGTACTGGGAGGAGAAAGGTCCTCTTCCTCCGCGTCCTTCTGTCACGGCCCTCGGCTTCAGGATGGAGAGAGCTAAGACAGCTTCCCCGCAAGAGAACAAAACACCGACTCTTCAGAGAAATAAAACGATGGATTGAGAGCATTATGCACTAACCTTCACCGAAACTGATGTTGAATCTGTGAAGCGTAACATCCTTCTACTTGTATAATGTAAATCATTGTAAATATTTATATATTCTGAATATATATATTGTATAAAACAAAACAATCGTCTCAAAGAATATGGGTTTTTCTTACATCACTCGCGCATGTCAACATATGACCTGAAGCTACCAACCATATCGCACGCACGCACGCACACTATATTATATCTAAATGTTGATTTACAAAGTCTGGCGCCTGGCGATATAAGGAAATAATCCATTCTATTATTATGGAATATAATTCCACAGAGATCTGACCACTGAACTTCGACAGCGCCATACCAGTGCTCATCGTTTCACCAACGTCTGGTACATGTATGACTGCAAGCTAACACATCGTGATATAACTGAAATATTGTTCTAAGCAGCGTTAAACTCAATTGACTACGTCAGGAACTTCCTCAAATTCACCAATCGCTGTAGCGAGGAAAGTCATGATGTCCTCATTTGAACTGTAGACATTGGTTGACAAAGGGACTCTGATCGGTTGTATGAAATAAAGTTGATCAAAATCCGCTATACTTGTTCCAACAGGAACTCAATGTGTCACAATGCCTCGCTTTGCTGCGTCGTTACAATTCTTCGGAAAGGTCTCCGCATCAGAAAAAAGCATCAAGTTCTATTTGATGGTTTTGACACAGGGCCGTCTGTTGGACTTCCGGGTTAGAACAGATTTCCCAGCAACCCATGCGACTAGATCGATGATGTGGTCAGACTTTGATGATTTCATGCTATCGTGTCCCACTTGTCTTGTATCGATGTAGATAATCAATCACGGGGGCGATAACTAACAGACCGCGGTCATGGAGCTGTTGTACTGGAGACTGTGGTGTTAAGCAACAAACAAACAACATAAGGCTTGTCATTTTTCTACATGGACGGTGGCATCATTGTCGGTCTAGCCGCAGGCAAGGCAACATGGTCACTGCCACTGGCATTGTCCGACTAGCCTATGCGTACAAGGCGTGGGTAAACCAGCAGCAGGTATCAAGTGAAACACATTGCATTGTACGTAAAACCACATCCGATGGTAAGGTGTGCTGACACTGTTGTAAAATCAGAATATTTGAAATATTCAATTTGTTAGGACATAGGAAAGTTTAAAACACTTATAAAATCGGAATATGTAAAGCACGTTTGTAACATCTGAACACTGTATTTACAGGGGACTGTTTAAAACGTATTTGTGACAACGCAAAAAAATCCATATGAAAATGTTTTGAAACATCGAACAAACTTATAACATCGGATCATATGTTGCTCAATTATAACATCGGCGAAATGTAAAAAATGATGTAACATTGAAACATTTTACCCGTTCGGAACATCTAAGGTACTGCTGTAAAATCATAGCCTTGAAAAACACCCTTGTAACACCTGTAACATCTGTAACATGGGGTGGTCAGGCTGTGAGGCGTGGTTGATTTCGTGTCTTATTTGCTTTTGACCTATGCGCTTAATGTCAGTCACTGGAAACCAACGAAAAATTGAGTGAGTGAGTTGGGTTTTACGCCGCTTTTAGCAATATTCCATCAATATTAAAGATATTGTACACATTAAAAAAAGCGACAAACAATTCATATTTCATACGAAATGTTCTTGCAAATGCACATGTATTTAGTATCTAATACATCACATCATAATGATGCAGTTTAATTTGAAACCTCATACCGATGTCTCAATAAATGTAGCTTATAATTTTTCATGATTATTGTATGAAACTCAAGTGTTGATAGTGTTGCTTTGATAGTGGAAATGACTGAGTGAGTTTAGTTTTACACCGCTTTTAGCAATATTCCAGTAATATCACAGCGAGGGACACCAGAAATGAGCTTCACACATTGTACCCATGTGGGGAATCGAACCCGTGTCCTCGGCATGACGAGCGAACGCTTTAACCACTAGGTTACCCCACCGCCCCACGACACACGACAAATTGAACACACCAGAACATGTAAACCGTTCTCGTGCAACTGGAACATGTAAAACACTCTTCTGAAATCTTCGCCTTCAAAGCACTCTTCTAAAACCAGAACATATAAACATTTAAAGTTTAGACATAGTTGCCATTACAGAACTAAAATACTTTTCAAAGTTTACTCACTCACTCACTCACATAATTGTAGCTTAGTTTCACGAACACCTGGTGTTGACTTTCAGTCAGCGGTTCATAAGGCTTTAAACACCCCGCACCCGCGAAGGTCCGGGTTAGAATGAACCTTCAGTAACCCACGCTTGTCGTAAGAGGCGACTAACCGGATCGGGTGGTCAGGCTCGCTGGCTTGGTTGACATATGTCATCGGTTCCCAATTGCGTAGATCGATGATCATGCTGTTGATCACTGGCTTGTCTGGTCCAGACTCTATTATTTACAGACCGCCACCATATAACTGGAATATTGCTGAGTGCGGCGTAAAACTAAACTCACTCACTAATTAACAACCCCGCCGTGATATTGCTGGAATATTGCTAAAAGCGGCGTAAAACCATACTCACTCACTCGCTCACTCACTTTAACAACCATATGTGTTCTGTTGCAACATCTGCCTCGTCGGATAAAGGAGACTGGCAACCGTTATTTAGTAGCGTTGACGTTTTAAAGTGTAACGGTCGGCATGCAATACAGTAAATATAGCGACAAAACCCTTTCCACATCCATAAGAAATCTTCGATTGAAGAAGTCGATTGTACAATTGTGGCAATATCATAAGTATACATTTGTTTCAGCAGTATTACCACTGTACGATGTTGTTTGTAAACAAATCGAGTCTGGACCAGACAACCTTGTGATTGCCACCCTGCGATACGACGACAGAGCATGTGTTTATGAATCACAGCGAAAAAGTGATAATACCAGGTGTTCGCGAAACGGTGAACGCATCCTGCCCCACCGGCGGCACCTGTCATAAACACATGCAAAGTCAAGTCAATTGTTCACCTGAAACAAATCGGGAACGTATAGCTCAAAATATGAAATTGCATCGGACATCATTTTTGTCGCTGATGTATTAAATTTCGAAATTTCCTCGACATGTCTACCATAAAACCTTTTGAGAGATTTACTGAGGCCTCGAATGTTGTATCCTTGATCAAACAACTTCTGAGCCAGAGTAGTATGACGCTTTTGAAATCATGGTAAAAGAGCGTGCTCGATCGTATCTCAAAATTTGTGACATGTAAATACCAAAGGCTGGAGCTGTTGGAAAGGAAATTTGACTATATTGGGAAGTTGAAATCATCCCGTATTCCAGTTCTGTAAAGGCGTGTCAGTTTCAGGTGGTAAAACAACAGACTGGTAAAACCCGCCAACTTAAGTACGTACTCCGCATTCCTTATGATATAGAGAAGTTGCCCTGATGTTAATAGCTAAATAATTACTACTAGGTGAATACTACAAGAACATGCTGTATTTAACATGAAACCAGGTAGTATACACACGCACGCACGCACGCACACGCACACACAGACACGCGCGCACGCACACACACACACACATCCCGAGTAAACGTATAACTTGTAATTGTGGGTGTTTTATCACGCTGTACGTACTTTGTATGACCTTCTAGTAGTAAGTGAGACTTCCTGCATCACACGTTTTCCATTTATAGCTATATTAGTGAACAATGAATGTAGTCATGTTGTTAAGTGCAAACAGTAAATTTGATTTTCATGTCTCACAATTCCATGGAGCAATACAGATTTGAGGTGAAATCGAATCTTCATGTTTTGGCTTTTAAAATTTGAACTATTGCGTATGGATTAGTATAAAACATACCCAACCATCGTGTTTGTTTCCTAGCAAACATAGTTGTTTAAACCATACCAGTGATACAGACAAGTTCGATAACAATCAGCCTCTGAGGCAACATATGAACCACATCTTGTCGTTTTCTGATCTAATCAATATAGCCAGTTAGGTTCGATTCAGTTGATAACATTTACTACTTTGCCTGAAACATACAATTTTATTCACTCATCAGATATAAACAGTTAACAAAGGCTTGTATTAATGGAATTTCAATTTTGTTGTAATTCAGTATAACAGAGTAGTTTAGGGAATACTTATATTTGGGCTTAATAGGCTGGAGAATAACATGATGTAGCTTTCATATTGACCGTAACGCGTGGTAATCAGCCTTTGTTTACCCATACAGATATAGGAAAACGCACGACGTATGACACACAAGGTCGGAAAATGTCGTTTTTACAGCAACTATTATCTAGTAATCTGTTTTCCGTCAGACAACAACGACTGATCACGATCGTCGCCTTAGAAAACCATAAGTGTCGAATCACAGGAATTAAGTCAATAATGACATCCGGCATGACGTCGTTTGGAGAGAGACGTCATTCAACATCATGTGACGTCAACAATGCATTCTGGTTGACGAACAAAACTGGATCGCGTGATAGGGTGCTTTCACTAGCATACCATCCCAAGTTTGTCTCCTGTAACATAGATACTCTCTGCACCAGGCAAGACGTGCCTGTCGGTGAGGTTGGAGCAAAATTGAACGTATCGGATGTTGTGCTCCCTCAGTCGGTTCCGTAAGCCAGAAACGGTCCGAGAAGTCCAACTAGCAGTCTGGAATCGATTCCTTAGATGGGTCAGCCGAATGTAGTTGTCTTGCTGATGTAACGGCACGTGTGGACGGCCAGTCCCAGGCAAATCTTTCGTATTTCCATATGTTGAAAACGTCTCCACAGAGATGGGCACCAAAATGTCTTCATTTTGGGCCATTCCGGTCTCCAGAATACCCACGGCGCGGGGACGCTGATTTTCTGTGAGCTGTGGCATGACCCGTTACGTACACGCAGTTTAGGTTGAAATTTACGTGTTTTCAACAACTTTCGGAGGCTAGAGAATTATCAACTGTTCTTCAAATTTCAATATCAGGTCTGTAAATTTCAGGTGTCAAAAAAGTATGCAAAAAGTGATTAAGGTCATTGTGCACAAAGTGCAAGTGAAAGTGCAAATCGCGACACGTTACATGAAATTTCATGCAAAGTGCTTTTCTACACGTTTATCTAGGGTTATTGTTATAACGTTTCAAATAAAGTTTATCTTATTCATATTTATGTTATGCTCAGTATGTTATTTGAGTTGCGTGCCATATTTCCGAATACCTTCTATTGCCCCCTTAAAGCACGCGTTACAAGAAATGTTTGCTGCTCCCTATCAACCGATTCTCTTCTCTTTAATAGTGGGGGCCTATTGTACCTAAATCCCATTTAGATGAAGAGCAGATCAAGCGATGATGAATAGCACGGTTAGGTGAGAAGTTAATTACATATATTAATAAGTTATATTGCCAAACACTACTCTAATCAGCTACAACTATGGTTGAGGATAACATAACTGGTCACGGAGGAGTTAAGATCTCACGCAGTGACTCGGTCGATGGCTACCTCGACCGAAAATTACATTCAGAAACCATCGAATATCATTCTTATATGTAGGATGGTCCCGATTGATCTGCTCGCCGTACATGGATTTATCGACATCGCGAGTCACATGACACACAAAGCTGGGCTTTTAGTTTACTCAAGCATTTGCTGAGTTCGTTCTTCTGCGGATGTTGTTGTTACAACTGTAATGAGAAAATGTGGACGTATATTCTGACACTTTGTCTGATTTTGTTTTATTGCAGCATAGGTAAGTATATTATTACTAAGTAACATAGCAATATTTTACTGATTTTTTCTCATTTTTTGTCACTGAAAGTACGAACACTTTACAACTGTACAAATATAAATACAACTAAAATGTTGATACTTTGTTTTACAGATGTTGAAGGGGTGTGTCAAAATATTGAAATTGACACTGTGTGTGATCAGCGGGCATCGAAGGGCGAGTGCTACTTCAATGTGTCTATGGGGTGTCGATGCGCTTTGGCGTGTCAAAGCATCTCGTCCTGTCCAAGTAAGATAGATATACACTACTTGTGTTACTGTAATACTATAATTGTTTCATCAAAATTGTTGAAATTTACATTTTATTGCAATATTTATCGCTCAGTGGCATATTAAGCATAATTTAATGCAAGCATAACACAAATTAGTTCGACGACTAAAATTCATGAATGTTATCAATGTTTATGTGGGGAGCATTATGATACATTTTTCACTGATCAACTTATTATTATTATAAATGTGGGGAACACTGAGGCAGATTTTCACTCATCAACTTTATATCAATGTTGTTTATTACTTGCAATGGTTGCTTTTAAAGTTGAAGTTTGTACGTTTGTCGCAATTGTGTCCCAAGTTTACCTTGGAGTCCCAAGGTATACCTGACATACACCTGACATTCCAGATCATCCACGTGATGGTCATACCGACTGCTTGTGTAAACGTGCACACATTCTCGGCATCTGTTCTAAATATACCTAACATTCCATATCATCCAAATGATGGTGAGAGCGATTGCTTTTGTAAAAAGTGCACATATTCTCGGCATCTGTTTTACATCTACCTAACATGCGTGAAGCCCCTTTCTGGTGCCCCCAGCCGTGATATAGCTGGAATATTGCTAAAAGCGGTGTAAAACTGAACTCACTCACTCACTCACATATACCTAACACTCCAGACCATCCAAATGATTGTGACAGCGACTGCTTTTGTAAAATTGCACATATTCTCGGCGTGTGTTTTACATATACCTAACATTCCAGATCATCCACGTGAGGTGACACCGACTGCTTGTGTAAAATTGCACACATTCTAGGCACCTGTTTTACATATACCTAACATTCCAGATCATCCACGTGATGGTGACACCGACTGCTTGTGTAAAATTGCACACATTCTCGGCATCTGTTTTACATCTACCTAACATGCGTGAAGCCCCTTTCTGGTGCCCCCCGCCGTGATATAGCTGGAATATTGCTAAAAGCGGTGTAAAACTGAACTCACTCACTCACACACATATACCTAACATTCCAGATCATCCAAATGATTGTGAAAGCGACTGTTTTTGTAAAAGTGCACATATTCTCGGCATCTGTTTAACATTTACCTAACATTCCAGATCATCCAAACGATGGTGACACCGACTGCTTGTGTAAAATAGCACATATTCTCGGCAAGTGCGGCGTGAACAAGACGGAGTGTCGACACACGTGTCACCTCAGAGACGGTGAGTTTTCCAAGTCATTTGTTCCACAGTGATTCATAACGCATGCTCATGAAATAGCCGGAAAGCACTATCGTCTCTATTGTAGCAGATATTTCTTATAGGTGTGAAGGGTTTTGGTCGCTTTCATTTGCTTAGTATCAAGGACAAATATTGATTGATTGATATCGTAATAAAAATAGTATTACATTTATCTACTACTGTTGATTGGAATCCATATCAATTACAAAGTGTGGGTCGATACTACATCCTGAGTTTCGCTTTACTAGTCGTATACCTGCAGGGAACAAGAGAGTAGGTTCCGAGTATTGAATATTAAATACCTTTGATCTGACCAACGGATCTTTTGGTTACCAGGTTTGAAAGAACACAAAAAGATCAAATTTGAAAGGATTATGAACGAATGTACTCAACAAACTTTCAAATTGCAATAAAACAACAAACATGACCTACAAATAGTCGATAGATTACTGCATTGTGTGAAGAGTAGAGGCTGGAATTTATTGTAATTTGGGCAACACCTACTCAAGAAAATATAAGAAATCACGAGCTGCAAACTATCCTTTATTAGTAATTATGATTATAGAATTGATTAGAATATGCCCACATAACGTATCACACCGCTTCCAGTTGGATAAATTCAGTGTCTTCAAGCATATATTCGCTGTCCCGTTTGCCACCTATGTGATTGACAAGAATAAGAATACTAATTGGCAAACATATGGAGCTCGCTTACAAAATATCAAAATTGCATCTCACCAAGTTTCCAGAATCTAATTGTTGTTACCTCCCAGTCCTTTGACTGAAATTCACAACTAAGGTACTCGGGTTTGCGACGGAGAAAGGATCTGTTGACATACTGGGTAATGCAAAATGTCGCACCCTTGAGAAAGTTCGTGGTGGGTTCGAGTGAGTGAGTGAGTTTGGTTTAAGGTCGCTTTTAGCAATATTCCAGCAATATCACGGCTGGGGACACCAGAAAGGGGCTACAATTATTGTACCCATGTGGGGAATCGAACCCGTGTCTTCGGCGAGACGAGCGAACGCTTTAACCACTTGACTACCCAAACCGCCGGTTGATGGGTTCGAGGAGGAAGCGTCACCTGGGAGGGTGTCGGCCCGTGAAAGCGAAATTTCAATATTCCCTTTTCCCGGTAAAGCTGTGCTAGAAGTGCCGCTAAAGCGAATTGCTATGAAAACATAACCCCTGGCCCATAACCCCAGGGAGACGTCGTATTCGTTAACTGGGCTGCGTGTAAAAGGGTCATGGGCCATTAGCTGTGGGAGTAGTGGGTGCTAGCCGCAGAGTTGGACATGCTTTACTATTCCAAGAACACCTGGTGTCTTACCGATTCCCTAGATACTTCATATCACTTTCATCCTGATCTTGTCATTTACGCCCAATGGAATCTGGTTAGGCAGACATTTGAAACTGATTTTCCCCCGATCTCGGTGTTTTGCATGAATTTTTATTCACTAGATCCCTCCATCTAGGTATTTTATTACCCAGCTGACAGGATTATGTGCTGTTTAGTTACCATTAGCTGATAAATCGAGTAGAATGACGTCTCAATCGGCCTGAGCTCTAACAATATCTTTTGTCAGCGTTTTTGTTTTTGATGCAGCTGTTGTCCATGACAAATATATAGGCTTGTTGTACCTGGTAATATCCTGGTAATAACAGTCACATCTTAGCGGTGTAATTAATGTCTGTGGGGTTCCAATTTTATAGCAAACACACAATTTGTTTCATTTCATTTGATATTGTTACTAAACGCTGTGAATGGTTAAATCGGAAACCGGAATATTGTGTTTTGATCATTTACACCATTCTGTTGCATTCCGTCACAAGTGTGCACAGCTTGTGTTAATAGCAAGCGGCTTTGGAATCCTTGTAATAGTTCTGTAAAAGCTATAGGGACACATGGGGATTATGGGTAATTGTACAGGAACTTCATGCATTGCTAATACAGTTGTCTGCGACAGTTCTGTTTTTTAGTATGTAAATTACGTCGTACAATATGCTGTTGCTAGTTCGGTTCTACTTTAACGAAACCCCTACGTTGTTAAAATCTGTTGGAAAATGTGTCACAGTAATAAAACTGAGATCCTGAATAGTCCACCGCGCTTATTCCGCGGAGTTAGAAACTATACTGGTCAAAATAAGTTAGGGACATTGGTATTATTATGATTGATATTTTGAATGAATAAATAGATCATTATTCATAATTTCAAAAATTACATATATCCCTAACTATTTTTGTCCAGTATATGTTTGCACATCAGGGGTTGTTAGGACAATTGTGGAATGTATGTTGAGGGAGGAAATTGCAATATTCCAGCAATATCACGGCGGGGACACCAGAAATGGGCTACACATATTGTACCCATGTGGGGAATCGATCCCGTGCCTTCGGCGTGACGAGCGAATGGTTTAACCATTAGACTATCCCACCACCCCTCGGCAACATGAAGATGTACGTGATGTTCTATCTGTTTTAAAGGTTCCATTACGTATTGAATCTAACACTAGGATAAGAAAAAGACTAAATATTTGCTGAGAGTATGGAGGTGTTTAGCAAATCAAGTGTGAGTTAATGTGCTTTAGACACAGCTAAACTATATATGACTTCACCATCTTATTGAGTACGAGAAATACATCCGTATAAAGTAACTCCTCTATACAGTCTCCACACATTACACAATGCAAATTAGAAAGTTGTCAAATGTCACACATGTTATATTTAGAATTCTACCATGACTTCAGTAAACACTGGATTGTGATTGGTTAATTAAAGTCATTCAGAGGTATATAATCACGTTATACCAGGTCTCTGTTTTCCGTGCGCAATCATACATGGTTTACGGTAATGCACTATTTTTGTCTGCCCACTAACATGGCGGACACCAAACAACCTACCGATGCATCGATAAATTACGGCGATTTTGCTGTCGGAAATTAATTACACATGTCTTTAAAGATGGATTTAGCGATGACGGGCTCGACTCACTACTTGCGTAAATCACAGCAATAGGTGTTTATACATACAAAAGTACTTCGAAAGCATGGAAACAAATATGTTTACGTTGATTCTATGTTATGTCAGACTGCTAATTTCCGTGTTAAATTACTTATCAGCTTTCGTCAACGATATCGCCACTGATCTTGATCCGGTACCGGAGGATGCATTAACATCGAACGCCGAAGAAATTTAATGCTTTCCGTCCATATAAATAAACAGTTGGGTTATCAGTTCAAACAAATATTTTGAAATTTGTACTGTTTCAAATTTAGCGGTAGTAAAACACAATTACAGAATCTGCAAACCGTTCTGTTTAGCCCAACATATTTTTTTTCTAAAAGTATAATATCGTTGAAAAAGTTATTTAGCTTAGTCATGATCCCTCTTATCCATTACACTGCTTGATCTAAAGTAGTCTATTAAAGTATAATTAATTACGTATACCTTACCGTGTGTTTGCCAGAGGTACACCCTCATGTCCTGATCCATCCTTTCGGAAATATCACCACAAATCTGGCTCTTTGTCAACAGACTCGCGAACATGCCAGCGAATCCGATTCAATTTGAATTCACTACACTTTGAAGCCACTAGGTCACAAAACACTTTCCAAAATGTAGAAAATAATATCCGTAGAATCGAATTTGAGCACAAAGTACACACATGAGTGTAAGAGTCACCACAGCTGTCGCACGCAGACGTAGAGGTGCGTGAAATCGTCAAGTTGACAGGGCGCAAAATTCAACAGTATCTAAATTCGGTACAACAAAAGCGCCTCCACTCTTAAATTTTGTACCAGTACCAGTCATTAGATATCAAAGACTATCTCAGTCATACAATCAGGTTAACCTTGCGCAAACTGTCAGAGGCTCTCCTGTAGCATCTTTCCAAATTTGCCCGTAAATGTAAACAATGACTTCCGAGAAAAGGTCAAGGCCACGAGGTTGCTGCCATTATTCTGGTGGGGAAAGGGTCTACGGTGGAATTTTCAAATGTGAACCAAGCTTTTTAAACTTATTTGATATATGTTTTCCAACTTATCAGTTAATGATTGGTGATTGATGCATTGAAAAAACAAAACGTGATTTGTTATTACTGAATCTGGAGTTTGTTAGTCATTGACGGTTTGCCACCAATCACCCCCGTTTCGGGCGATGCCACTTGAGATTGGAATGTGAGGCCGCTTCACGCATTGACTCGTAACCAAAGAAAGAGCTCCACCTGAAATTGTTCATAAAATTGCCATAGAATGGAGATAAACCACTGTGTGGGAAAATCAGAGGTATATAACGAAATTATAATAGCTTAAATTGTTCATTTAAAACCTCACGCTACGCGTTCGGTTTTAAATGAAATTTAGAGCTATTACAATTTCGTTTTATACCTCTGAATGAAATCAGAGGTATATAACGAAATTATAATACAATTGTTCATTGCTTTAAAACCTCACGCTACGCGTTCGGTTTTAAATGAAATTTAGAGCTATTACAATTTCGTTATATACCTCTGATTTTCCCACACAGTAGGTTTATCTCCTAATTACCCTTTCTCAGTAAAGTACAGATTCTAGTACTTTGGTCGAGTTGAATCCCATCCGGGACACTCTCAGAGTCAGGCACTTAATCGCCAGCAGACAAAGTTAGTCGTCTAACCCACTAATGGAGGGTACATATTAGCAGGTACATGGACACACCATCAGTAAAATGCCTAACCCATATATTCTTTATTTATCCTCCAAGTTGTAAATGTTCTCTGATCCTCTGCATTAAGTCCATACTGAGGGCTACATGACAGAAGACACAACACCGTCTCAATGTCTGACAAGTTGTGGAACCATACACTGAAGTCAACAGGACCAATATTGATCAGTTCACACCACAGCTGATCTCTCACAGAGAGTAAATTATCACACTGCACGACAGCATGAACACACGGATCACTATATAACCGTCCACACTTCTCACACAGGTACACAGCATCTTTAATGTATCTAATGCTGGAACATAACTGCACCAGGAACTTGGACGAGGTTCGGTACAGGTGGTCTTCCCGTGACAATGTCCATGCTGGATGAACACACAGGTCTCTGTGTATCTGTGCGAACCACTGGAGATCTGGTTCAACCGTAATCCTATCAGTCCAAGAGGCGGAGGCTACGCGTTCGGTTTTAAATGAAATTTAGAGCTATTACAATTTCGTTATATACCTCTGATTTTCCCACACAGTAGGTTTATCTCCTAATTACCCTTTCTCAGTAAAGTACAGATTCTAGTACTTTGGTCGAGTTGAATCCCATCCGGGACACTCTCAGAGTCAGGCACTTAATCGCCAGCAGACAAAGTTAGTCGTCTAACCCACTAATGGAGGGTACATATTAGCAGGTACATGGACACACCATCAGTAAAATGCCTAACCCATGCATTTGTGACATCACGTCTGGACAACTGCAACAGTCTACTCTATGGAATACAGCAGCAGTACATGGACAAGTTACAGCGTGTTCAAAACTCAGCTGCCAGGCTCATAACACGCACACATATGTATCTGCACATAACACCAATGCTGAAGGACTTACACTGGCTCCCTGTAAAAGACAGAGTTGTATTCAAACTTATTGTGTTTGTTTACAAGTCCATTAGTGGGCTTGCTCCATTCTATCTCCAGGAACTAGTAAACCTTCTCAAGCCCGGAAGGTCACTCAGATCAGCTAGTCAGCAAAGCTTAGATGTTCCATTTGTCCCAACCACAACATAGGGGACAGATAATTTAGCAGAGAGGGTGCTGTACTCTGGAATGGATTACCTGAAAATGTCAGAATATCGGAAAATATCAACAGTTTCCGATCATGTCTCAAAACCATGCTCTTCAAACGAGCATTCGACTAAGCGCACATGAGCAGGACTCTGGATATGTAGCGCTATACAAATGTCTAATTTGATTTGAAAGAGTTCAGAATTCCTAAACCCACATGTCTGAGACCCATACAGCAGAAAAGGTGAAATCAACGAATCAAAGGTTACTTAATTTAGTATATTTTGCAGAAAGGAGCCATTTGAATTTGTGTGAGGAACTTTAAGAAACGTAATGCCGAGATAAACATACGGTTTTGTTTGACTGTTGCCGCCCATGAAGGATGGTTAGTTAGTTTTAACATTTCCACTGTTGGGCGGTGGGTTAGCCAAGTGGTTAAGATGCTCACTCGTCACGCCGAGGGCACGGGTTCGATTCCCCACATGGATACAATGTGTGCAGCCCATTACTGGTGTCCCCTGCTGTGATATTGCTGGAATATTGCTTAAAGCGTCATAAAGATATACCAACTCACTCATTTCCTCTATCAAAGCAACACTATCAACATTTGAGTTTCATACAATAATCATGAAACTTTATACATCCATTGAGATATCGGTATGAGGTTTCAAATCAAACTGCATCATTGTGATGTATTGTATTAGATAATAAATACATGTGAAATACAGGTTATCATATGAAATTCAAAAATGTTTGTCGCTTTATTTAATTTGTCCAGTATCAACATAGTTATTATTTCATTAACCAAGCATCGAGTTTCCCGTTTACATGTGTCTACACGACTGACACGAAGTTGTAAATGGCTGTTTCGTGTTATTTATGGGGGGTAGATTTGTACATGTGATGCCTACTTGGCTACAGTGATGAGTGAGCGCAGTCTATCGGGATTAATTGTTTGTCAATAACGAGGAAACCTTTCAATCGATATTTAACACTTTGTTTCATAAAAACAAATCGCAGATTTAATTCCGAAATTCACTTACTCCAGTTCAAGCGTCAGTGATTTAAACGGATACCATGCAGAACATGATAACGATCTGTACATTATTTCACGTCGTGCCATTCAGTGTATATGTAAGCTTTGTGTTTCAACACGGACGGCACTGTGCGTTTTAACACTAGCTGACGCACTTGGTACGACGGGGTCTGGTTTAGATAATTACCGTTCAGGGGGGGCTGCTCCAGTTGTGTTCAATTGTCAATGGTAATTTCATGGTGGTTTTCCTTCAGTGTAAACGCAGATTCATAGTTAAATGTTACCAGGGGGTAAAAATCGCCGTTCAGTGTTTATTCAAATTTACGTTTTTAACAAATTGGTCAATAACGCACTTTGATTAGAATGTCCGACATGTTTCGCTAATCAGCCGGGTTACAGGCTTCAGAAAGCTAGAGATGTGACTGATAGGATGTGGGAGTAACACTAACTGAATTATACAGATCGTCGTATCCCACGTGAGAGGATCAATGCTCATGTCAATCACAGGTTTGTCTGGTCCAGATTCGATTATTATCTGGTCCAGATTTAAAAAATGCTACCATTTCGTTTGTTCGATGTTACGATACAGATTATTGTACTACTGTCAAACCGGAATGGAACATCATGATGATGATGATGATGAAGATTTGGAGATTTAACGTGCGCTTTCCAACATAATGCACATTTGACACACGAGCCCGCATTTAGAGTGTTTGATCGAAAGAGTGCTGATTTGACCGAAAGATATAACAACCTGAATTTGAATGAATTTTGAATTCGGAAATTTGCCAAAAGTAATAGGGGGATCTGACCTATGAGGTGGTTTGGTCGGTATTTGTTTTGTTTGTTTGTATGCGTTTTAAAAAAAATTGTTTTTTGTATTGATACTATCTGGTCATGTGGAATTATATGGGACCTACAAGGCTAGTTTTGATTAGAAAAGCACCTAACGCTTTGAAGGTTGTAGTAGTATATGCAGTGTAGTAAGAGATGTTCGGGTGTTTTTGTTTCGTTGCAGTGTGCTCACTTGGCTGTTTAGCTTTAAAAAAATATATTTTGCAAATGGAAATTTAATTAAATTTAATTTAAGTTTGACCTGTTTCTTATTTGGTTATCGTTCTGTCAATATTTTTAGATTTATGGTAGATTTCTAGTTTTTTCAGTAAATGTAGATTAGAATTTGAATGTTGGTATTAACTTTGCCACTTTTGGAAGAAGTTTTGTTTTGATAGGCTTTTCATTTCGTTTTTAGATAATGGTATATTTAAGTTAACATTTGGGAGTTTATGTGCCGCTTTGGCAGCTTGGTCGGCATGTTCGTTACCAAACACTCCGACATGGGCAGGGATCCACATGAACTCCCTCTTTGCATAGGCGTATAGATGGCGAGTGCTTTTGAAGTGTTTAGTTTGTTAGTTTAGACTGTTTTTTGTTGTTGTTTTTGGTTTTCAGACCGCCTCCGTGGTGTAGTGGTTAGAGCGTCCGCCCGGAGAGCGGAAGGTCGCGGGTTCGATCCCCGACTGCGTCATACCAAAAGACGTTAAAATATATGGTACTTGTTGGTCCCTGCCTGGCGCTCGGCATTAATGGGTACAACAAAGACTGGTCGGCTCTGAGTCAGTATAATGTGTCTGATATGGGTATTCATGCTTCACTGCGGCATGGTATCCCAGTGGGCTAGCACTATAAAACCAGCTTAAGTCTGGGCTAGTACAAGCAGCCGCACATACACATACACACGCATGCACGTCGTCATATGAGCGAAATATTCTCAAGCACGACGTTAAACCCTATTTCACCTCACCTCACCTTGTTTTGTATTGCTTGGAGTCCGCTGAGTGAGTCTGTTCATAGATTAGAATCGTATTGTTTTGTTTTTACGAGCGGGCCATCGAGTGCTGCGACTAAGCTCATTAGTTCTTCCGCGAACATTTATTGGCTGTTTGGGAGTCTGTATGGTGTAGTCTGCAACATGAGGAGGACTTGATGTTTATATACAGCGTGTAACAAAATAAAATGCCGCAGCAACATAATTAACAAGGCAATAAGTTGATTGAAGCCAGAGAATTAACTGAGAAGAGATCAGAGATGTACAAATAAAGGGGATAGTTTGTACCCTCTAAGATGCCACTCAAAGACCTTCGCCGTTATATAGCCTAGATAATGATGAGTATGACGTTAATAAACAACATGAAATAATGAAATCTGAAGCCCATTGTTAGTGTTTATAGCTCTCCTGTTTATTTTTGTAGAAAAATCAAAACAATAGTAATACCATTGGTTATACATAAGTACAAATATATAACGGTATTATACAAGAACCGTTAAACAGCACCAGGCTATTACGTGTAATATATAGATTTCTAAGAGGTGTAATTTTAAATGGTTAAAACAGGTAATTATAGAGTTTCCATTTTGCAGTGTTTTTCTGTTATCATAAAACAGTGTATAACATGTTAGATAATCGGTGACGGTAAATATGAGATGTTCAATGTTCTAGTTGTCACATGTGACGTTTTGGAGGCGGTGTCTGGTGCGGCGCCATCCAAAACCACCCCCCTGTATCTTGACATCGTCACCTACAACTGCCTCCCAGGATACTACGTTGTCAACGGAAGCACCGGGAAGAGAGTGTGCACCGAAAATGGGACCTGGTTTAAACACGTGGTTGATGGACTGCGCCAAATTGTGAAAGTATGTGTTATATATGCAATATTCACTTGTTCTATTTACTTACCGAATCAGTTTATGACTGGCATGTGAATAGTTATTGATAGTCAGATGTCACGTACGTAGTCATTGATTTACCAGGATAAACATATTTGCCTGGCAGTCGATATTACACACTACTGAACTGACATGCTGTTTCAATTTTGTTGGAACTACACTTTTGCCAGAATAACTCTCAGCCTGCCTCGCTGACATTGTAGTGTGCAGAATAGTGTCTTAATAATGAAAATACTGAATAAATAAAACGTTTGACCTTCCTTGACAAACAAAAGATTAATGTTACCTTGTCATCTGCAGCGCTTACAAAGAAGGACAAACTTGACAGCTGTCTGTCATGTTAACTGTAGGAATGCAGTGACCAGCTTTAGAACAGGAGACACAGCTACAGAACACGGACAGCAAACTCGATCAAACATTGCACATTGCACTTGTGAGGCCTGTCATCCATGGTGACAGATGCTGGTTAGTAACATGTGCCTATCAAGGTCACAGTACACCGAATGATCTTACCTCCAGTTGTGTACATGACAGAAAATAGACAATAGACTGAAGCTAGCAATTGAAAGATTACAGTGCCCAGTGTCACTTTGGTAATCTTAAAGCATCTATAACGGCAAACGGGTAACTTTTATGGTGGGTAGAGGAAGCCCTAGAATGACTATACCCAGGAAGCATTGAGGAACAGATTCAATACTGTACCAGTACTAAGGTAAAACTTAGGGCTACCACAGGAATTTTGAAGTGAACGACAGGAAACGGATTGAAAAATGTCAAGACGTCCTTTCAGAAGAATACGTCCAGCGAAGGCGGAATCTTTAGTTGAAACGCGTAGGAGGGAGCTTCGTGTTGTGTCATAGTTTGTGGATATCGTTGTACTACTTTACACTGCCGAAATATATAGAGTACGCGGAGTCATGCAGTTTGCACATAGGCTTTTCTATTTATACCTCAATGAACCGGAAACACACACTGTCAGTCAATCCTTAATTGTTCCGAATATATATCGGGTTGTCCAGTTGCTGATGAAATACATGCAGATTGTGTTTCAAATTTGCTCTTTTCACCAACAGAGATATCCTGTGGTTTGAGCCCATCATTCGAAAACGTGACAGCATCTCAAGGATATGGCGTGTTTGACGACGTCATATCATACTCTTGCAACATTGGTAACGGGCAAGTGGGCGGTAGCAATGGCAGTATGAGATGCAACGAGACTGGGAGTTGGGACCCGGACGTCGTGTATGGGAACCCGCCATTATGTGATAGTAGGTTAATCTTTCATGTTGGTTTCTAATTGTTTCACATACGTGAAGACGTGGCTTAGAATCGGTTTTCAGCAACCAATGTATGTCGCAAGAGGTTATCAACGGGGCTGGGTCGTCAGGATTGCTGACTTAAATTATCTGACATTATTTCAACTTGGTAAGTAATATGTCAATGACTGGACTATCTGATCCAGAATCTAATATCTACTGATCGTTGTATATGTAGCTGTAAAATTGTTGAGTACAAATTGACTGAAGATTCTGTGTTCGGTGTCTTAAGCAATAAGCAGAAAAGAAAATTACATCTCGTCATTTTAGCTTAATATTTTGGAATAAATCACTTTGGGAATGAGGTCCCCTTGGAATTAGCAAAAAATATTTTTCTCGAGTGTGACGTCTACGTTGAGTTTATAGTGGAGTAACACGTTGAGTGCATCGTGCCAACTGGCTCTCAGATTGTGTTTCAAATTTGCTCTTTTTACCAACAGAGATTTCCTGTGGTTTGAGCCCATCGTTCGAGAACGTCACTGCATCTCAAGCAGATGGCGTGTTCAACGACGTCATATCTTACTTTTGCAACATGGGTTACGAGCAAGTGGGCGACAGTAACGGCAGTATGAGGTGCAACGAGACGGGGAGTTGGGCCCCGGACATGGTGTATGGTGACCCACCATTATGTAAAAGTAGGATAATTGTTTTATGTTCAGGATTTACATCCGTGACATAGCGGGATAGAATTGATCTTAAGCAGCCGATGTTTGCTGCGTGAAGCAATCAACAGGAACGGGTGGCCAGGGTCGTTGACTAGAATGATGCATGCTATATTGGCACAACTGCGTCAATGTGCGCATGTTACCAGTGACTGAACTGTGTGTCCCAGAATCGATTAGTTACTGGTCGCCGTCCTATAGCTGAAATATTGCTGAGTAAGAACTTAACCGACAGTCAGAAAAATAAATTACGTCTAATCATTTCAGTCTTCCAAACAAATTTAATTAAATATTGGCGTAAACATTGCTTTGGGGCAGAATCAGTTTCCCGTGGAACAAAAGAATCCATTATCACTGGAGTGTACTGCGGTGCATCATGTCAGCTGGAACACGAGCAAACCTGTCATCCTTGAACTGCGTCAGGAGCAAATTGACAAACTGTCACACAGGCAAATCAGAGACCATATTCGTTATTCAGTATTTGTCTCTGGGCAAATGCCCCAATGCATTATAAAAAACATATAAATCTTGTACTAAATGCATGAATGCCTTGTCAATTCGCAATGTTCTGAATGTATGTCGGGTTATCCAATTTCTGATGAAGTACGTGATGGTTTGTGATTCAAATTTTCTATTTTTACCAACAGAGATATCCTATCACATTTTCTATTTTTACCAACAGAGATATCCTGTGGTGTGAGCCCATCATTTGAGAACGCAACAGGATCTCAAGCAGATGGCGTGTTTGACGACGTCATATCATACTCTTGCAACGTGGGTTACGAGCAAGTGGGCGGTAGCAACGGCAGTATGAGGTGCAACGAGACGGGGAGTTGGCACCTGGACGTGGAGTTTGGGAACCCGCCATTATGTGAAAGTAGGATATTTTTTTATGTGTTCGGGATTTACATCCGTGACATTGCGAGCTAGAATTAATCTTAATCATCAGATATTTACCGTTAGAAACGATCAACGGAACCGGGTGGTCGGGCTCGCAGACTTAAATGCTTACATACCGTATTATCGCAATTGCGTAGATCACTGCTCATGATATCAATGACTGAATTGTCTAATCCAGAATCGAATATTTACAGATCGGCGTCGTATAGCTGAAATATTGCTGGTTAAGTCTTTAAACAACAATCAGAAAAGAAATCTCGTCATTTTATGATTACAAACTTAATGTATCATGTTAACTGGTGTACGGACAAACCTGCACCCGTGCCGTTGTTACCGACTGTACGTGTAACAGGATTGTGTCAGCAGTAAACAGACAGAAGACGCTGCCGTGTGCCTTGTATCACTCAACTATTGAAATAATACAGTGATGTAAAAACAAACAATTCGCCCGACACGAATCCTTGCAATACTACTATTTATTATATAAATACATTGATCATGTATTAAGCACATTCAATTCCATGGAGCGTTATTAATAGCAGAACTTATGCTACACCCAACGCCATGACAATTCGCACTGTTCTGATTGGACGTCTGATTTTTCAGTTACTAATGAAACTATATGCACATTGTGTTTCAAGCGTGTGTTTATTTTACCAACAGAGATATCCTGTGGATTGAGCCCATCATTCGAGAACGTGACAGCATCTCAAGGGGCTGGCGTGTTTGACGACGTCATATCATACTCTTGCAACATGGGTTACGTACAAGTGGGCGGAAGTAACGGCAGTATGCGGTGCAACGAGATGGGAAGCTGGGACCCGGACGTGGTGTATGGTGACCCACCATTATGTGAAAGTAGGATAATTTTTTCAATTTGTTTTATAGTTTAGTGTTCACATACGTGAAACGTGGTTTAGAATTGGTTTTCAGCACCGAATGCTTGTCGAAAGAGGCGATCAACGGGTCACGGTGGTGACGCTAGCTGACATGTTGGAATTTTAAAGTTTTCATCAGTGAACATGCGGGTTGGATGTGATCATCAGCATCACATTGCTATCGTAAGAGGCGATCAAAGGAACCGGTCGGTCACGGTAGCTGAATTGAATGATACACGTCATATTATCTCAGTTGCGACGCTCGATGTTCATGACGTCAGTCACTGGGTTGTCTGGTCCAGAATCGAATATTGACAGAACGCTGTAATATAGCTGAAATATCGCTGGGTAATACCTTACCCGACAATCAGAAAAAACAAATTAAATCTCCTCAGTTTAGGTTTCCAAAAATCTCAATTACATGTTGACGTAAACATCGCTTTGGGACAGGATCAGTCTCAGGTTGAATACATTACTCCATTTTCGTTGAGTGCAACGCGGTGCTCGTGGAGTTTATGCAGCATGTCAACTGGAACAAGAGCAAACCTGTTACCTTTGATGTTGTTATCGACTGCACCTAAAATAGGACTATGTTAGCAGTAAATTGACAAACTGTCACTGTCACATAGGCAAATCCTCAATTTGTAATAAACATATAGATATTGTACTAAATACATGAATGCCCTGTCAATTTGCAATATTCTGAATATGTCGGCTTATGAAATTGCTGATGGAAGCATGTGCACATTGTGTTTCAAGTTTTGTCTTTTTTACCAACAGAGATATCCTGTGGTTTGAGCCCATCATTCGAGAACGTGACAGCATCTCAAGGGAATGGCGTGTTTGACGACGTCATATCATACTCTTGTAACTTGGGTTACGAACAAGTGGGCGGCAGTAACGGCAGTATGAGGTGCAACGAGACGGGGAGTTGGGGCCCGGACATGGTGTATGGTGACCCGCCATTATGTGAAAGTAGGATAATATTTTACGTTCAGGGTTTACATCCGTATATTTGTTATAAAACGTATAAATCTTTTACTAAATACATGAAAGCCAGTCAGTCAGGCTGGCAGACATAATTGCTTAAATGCCAGTTATCGCAATTCCGTCGATCTATACTTAGAAGATAAAGCTACTCTGTTTTCAATTTTACGGTCCTTTATCGTTGATTTAAGACCGCTAAATTGAACATTTAGCGGTAGCTTTATCTTCATTCAGAGTAGCTTTATCTTCATTCTAGCACGATAGATAAGCGTTTTAAAACCGCACTCTTTGGAGCGCAAGAACACAAGGCGTGAAGTGGCCTTTTTCCTGGAAATTGCTTGGAATCGTCCAGTTGAGGGACAGGTTGTATAATGAACAAAATAAGACATTTATAACAGCACAATTTGCTTTATTTCAGGAACCAGTATGGTTCCAGTATGTAACAAGTATGTAACAAGTAGCATAAAAAGATCACAAAATATACAGTTTATACTGTGAGCAACTACAGTTATTTGATTTTATCAAGTGAATTATTCACCTCCCCCTTCTCTATCACAATCGACTCGCCCCATTTAAGTTATGAACTCGCAAAGTTTACTCGCCGCTAACTTTATTCGTGGAAGTAATTGTTAATAATGACGCTACTATTCCCAATCTGGATAAGACCCGACATACCAGCTTTTATGTGGGAAACCTGGACAGTGGAAGTTGAAGGACTGGGCATTACGGCGGGGACGGAAGCGGACAGGTTAGGACGTGTGTTGTTGATGTCATGTCCACTAGACCCAGTTTGAAGTATGGCGGAATACTGCCGCTTTTGCGCTGCTGACGAATCAGTGTTATATGAGGACAGACTCTGGCAGTTTTTGTGCCCAGTAATCTTAACTATTTCACTTGCTTCCACCCCAGCATGTGAAAGCAGTGTAACGGTGGTGGATCTAACACAGTGATTTGTGTACACCCGACTCAACTCGCAACTGGCCGAGATCCGTTTCATCATCGTTTTCAGTGTGTTGTGACCGAGGGGCTTACTTGTGTACCAAACTTCATCATTCTCACACACATTCTTACGAGGCTGCTGAAAGAGGGCTTCATTTTCTGGATTTAACTTGGACATGTACTTTCGAAAAGATACAACAGGACAGAGGGGAGTTCCTGTCGCGTATATACGTGGCTTTGTGTACTCGGAATCGCCGACGCCCCCAGGATGATTTTTCGTGGATTTGCTATGTGTCATGGATATGAATTCACAGCCAACATCGTCTGTTTCGACAACAAAGGAATGAACAGACAACTCCCTCTGGTTCTCACAGCCCCTTCGTCCAAACCCTAGGGTCAAATCAAACCACACTTTGTTTTGAAGGTCTACAGGGTTTTCCAAATTTTGTTTGTTTCTAATTTTAGCTAAATCACCATCTGAAATGGCATTGTGATGTGCTGGATTATCAAGACCTAACTGCTTTATTTTTTTTAACATTGCTGCAAAAACGGCGCTGGCCGAGTGAAATTCTTTGTCTTGAAGAATGTTAATATTCATGTTAAATGGTGGCTGTCTAAGGTGTCTGTGGATCGCTGCTCGGATCCCAACATACGATGACTTGGTATAATAATTCCCGTCGGAAGTTTGGACTTCAGCGTAGAATCGCTTCAGCAGAGCGTTCATTTCATCAACTGGAAGTGTCTCAAACTCGGGAGAGAGTTCGTGAAATTGTAGCCACTCTGGAAATATATTTTAATAAAAAAAATATTATTTTACGTGCGCTTCAATGTTTTAATATCAATTTGTTAAAAGGTAAGTAACAGCTTTATTTAACATGTTCAAGATTATTTACATCACCTTCGTTTATCATAGGATATGTTAGGCCAAATCTTGATAAGTTTGTTGATTTAAAAGGATTGTCTTTGCTCTTACGTTTCAAGATTTTTACTCCCGACGCAGTTGTTTGAAGGGTGGTTTTGCTCCTCGAATCCAAAACAATATGTTCCAGATCATTGTCGGTCACTGTTTTGAAACGCTTGGTAGCAGGTTCATTTTTTATATCTAAAACAGTAAAATCGTAAATTTGAGTGAAATATTTACTTATGAATAAATTAAACTGCCGTTAAATTTCGTAATAAGTGATTATTTATGCAAGGAAACATTTCGTACACTACAAGAGATAAATTGAGGAATATTTTCAGTCCATTTTTTTTCTTTCCTTTTCATATGAATAGACATACACCTAGCGTTCGAGTTGACGCCAGCTGACTTTACAATGTAAGAAATGTGAAACGAATTATCGCTACCTGTAGAATTTTCCAGCTTCGAAGTTTCTTCATTTGCGTTAGGCTCCAGAAATTCATCGTCGAACCATTCGCTGTTCAGTTCAAAAACATCAAAGATGCTGCCGAGGTAGAAGTCTCCGATGTCAGACATGTTGTATTCATACGCGGTGAATCGGTCACTTTAATTAGCGGTCCTTAAACTGTCATTAAAGTACGGTTTTGATGAGCTCTCAGCCAATCAGAATCGAGTATCACACATTGTCGTGCTAGAATCATGATTTCAATGACTGAATGGTCCAGAATCAAATGTTAACAGATCGCCGTCATATAGCTGGAATACGTATAGTTTGGCTTAACCGAGGTGATGTATCATGTTAACTGGCGTACGGTCAAATCTGCACCCGTGCGGTTGTTATTGACTGTATGTGTGGCAGGACTGTCAGCAGCAAACAGACAGAAGACGCTGCCGTGTTCGTTGTATCACTGGAATATTGAAGCAGTACAGTGACGTAAAGCAAAACCTGACGTCATTCGACAAGAATCCTTGCAAGACTCCTATTTATTATGTAAATACATTGATCATGTATTAAGCACATTTAATTCCATGGAATCGCCAAGCGTTATTAATAGCAGAACTTCTGCTACGCCCAACGCCATGACAATTCGGACTGTTCTAAATGGACGTCTGATGTTTCAGTTACTAATGAAACTATATGCACATTGTGTTTCAAGCGTGTTTGTTTTTACCAACAGAGATATCCTGTGGTTTGAGCCTAACATTCGAGAACGTGACAGCATCTCAAGGGGCTGGCGTGTTTGACGACGTCATATCATACTCTTGCAACATGGGTTACGTACAAGTGGGCGGCAGTAACGGCAGTATGCGGTGCAACGAGACGAGAAGCTGGGACCCGGACGTGGTATATGCTGACCCACCAGTTTGTGAAAGTAGGATAGTTTTTTCAAGTTGTTTTTTTATAGTTTAGTGTTCACATACGTGAAACGTGGTTTAGAATTGGTTTTCAGCACCGTATGCTTGTCGAAAGAGGCGATCAACGGGTCACGGTGGTGACGCTAGCTGACGTTGGAATTTTAAAGTTTTCATCAGTGAACATGCGGGTTGGATGTGATCATCAGCATCACATTGTTATCGTAAAAGGCGATCAACGGAACCGGTCGGTCACGGTAGCTGAATTGAATGATACACGTCATGTTATCTAAATTGCGACGCTCGATGTTCATGACGTCAGTCACTGGGTTGCCTGGTCCAGAATCGAATATTTACAGAACGCTGTAATATAGCTGTAATATCGCTGGGTAATACCTTACCCGACAATCAGGAAAACAAAATTAAGTCTCCTCAGTTTTGGTTTCCAAAAATCTCAATTACATGTTGACGTAAACATCGCTTTGGGACAGAATCAGTCTCAGGTTGAATACATTACTCCATTTTCGTTGAGTGCAACGCGGTGCTCGTGGAGTTTATGCATCATGTCAACTGGAACAAGAGCAAACCTGTTACCTTTGATGTTGTTATCGACTGCACCTAAAACAGGACTGAGTTAGCAGTAAGTTGACAAACTGGCACTGCAACATAGGCAAATCCTCAATTTGTAATAAACATAGATATTGTACTAAATACATGAATGCCCTGTCAATTTGCAATATTCTAAATATGTCGGCTTATGAAATTGCTGATGGAAGCATGTGCACATTGTGTTTCAAGTTTGTCTTTTTTACCAACAGAGATATCCTGTGGTTTGAGCCCATCATTCGAGAACGTGGCAGCATCTAAAGGGAATGGCGTGTTTGACGACGTCATATCTTATTTTTGCAACGTGGGTCACGAACAAGTGGGCGGTAGCAATGGCAGTATGAGATGCAACGAGACGGGGAGCTGGGACCCGGACGTGGTGTATGGGAACCCGCCATTATGTGAAAGTAGGATCATTTTGTTATGTTTAGGATTTGCATCCGTGACATTGCGGGGTAGAATTGATCTTAAGCATCCGACTTTTAACGTTAGAATCGATCAACAGAACCAGGTGGTCAGGCTCGCCGACTTGAATAGTTAAATACCGTATGTTGGCAGTTGCATCGATCTATGCTTACGATTTCTATGACTGAATGGTCCATAATCGAATATGTACAGATCGCCGTCATATAGCTGAAATATTGCTGAATATGACTGTAAGACACAATCAGAAAACAAATCTCGTCATTTTATGCTTCCAAGCGTAATAATATTTTGGCTTAACCGAGGTTAACTGGTGTACGGTCAAATCTGCTCCCGTGCCGTTGTACGTGTAACAGGATTGTCAGCAGCAAACAGACAGAAGACGCTGCCGTGTGCCTTGTATCACTGGAATATTGAAACAATACAGTGATGTAAAACAAGACATGACGTCACTCGACAAGAATCCTTGCAAGACTCCTGTTTATTATATAAATACATTGATCATGTATCACAATCAAATTACATGGAATCGCCAGCAAAACTTATGCAAAGCCCAGTGCCATGGCTATTCGCACATTTCTGAATGGACGTCTGTTTTAAGTTACTAAGAAACTATATGCATATTACTGTGTTTCAAGCGTGTTTTTTTTCAACAGAGATATCCTGTGGTTTGAGCCCATCATTCGAGAACGTGACAGCATCTCAAGGGAATGGCGTGTTTGAAGACGTCATATCGTACTCTTGCAACATGGGTTACGTACAAGTGGGCGGCAGTAACGGCAGTATGCGGTGCAACGAGACGGGGAGTTGGGACCCGGACGTGGTGTATGGTGACCCGCCATTATGTACAAGTAGGATCATTTGTCATTTTGGATTTTAGTCGTTAGTGTTCACATCTTCGAAAACACGTGGGTTAGATTTGGTTTTCAGCAACCAATGCTTGTCGAAAGAGGCGAGCAACCGGACCAGGTGGTCACGCGCCTTGGCTTTAATGATGCAATTCATAATATAACAAATGCGTACATCGATGATTATGATGTCAGTGACTGGGTTATCTGGTCCAGATTCGAATATTTACAGATCGCTGACATTAAACTGGACTATTAACTTGGACCATAAACAACAAACAGAAAAGCAAACTTCATCGCTTTGGGACAGAATGCATTCTCCATGGAACGAAAGAACGCAACGTTGTGGGAAGGTTGTAGATTGGTAACGTCATGACACAACGTTGTCACAACGTTAGCATTACGTCATTTTATAACGTTATCTCACAACGTTACAGCAACGTTACATACGTTGTCAAAACGTTGTGTATCGACTATTACATAATATCTTGATAGCGATAGCGTTTAGTAAGACTTTTCACTTTGAGATTCTTTCTTCACTATTCAGCTACAGCTTCAGAAAACACACGACCAAAACAACATGCACATTGACGAATACACATTGAATTGATTTTCTGCTTTGTTTTTCATGTACTGTTCACTAATGGGAAACTATTCAACTATTCACCTTAAAAAGAACCTTAAGACAACGTAAAATGTGTTAACATCAAATAACGTTAACATTGTGACGACGTGAACATGACGTGTCACAACGTCAAGCCACAACCTTGTGGCAACGTATACGTAAATGGGAGAGTACAGAATAACGTTTTAACAACGAAAGCAAAACGTTGTGACAACATGACATTATTAGCTTCGGTTACACTTGGAATTTATGTATCTTGTCAACTTGTACACGAGATAAACCTACCACCCCTGCTGACGTTATCGAATGTAGCAGGACTGCGTTAGCAGCAAACAGACAAACACATGTCATATCACTTCTGGGTTAAAATTACCCCTAATATCTCAAGCTGTTTGTTTGTTGTTTAACGCCGCAGGTGATGTGGGTTATAGACTACTTATATCGTCCCATTTGGGAGGACATTATCAATTATATTCCAAATGAAATGATAATAATGCACATTGCACATTAGATGCACTCAGCAATATTACAGCTATATGGCGGTGGTCTGTAACTATTCGAGTCTGGACCAGACAATCCAGTGATCAACATTATCAGCATCCATCTACGCAACTGGGTTACGATGACATGAATTAATCAAATCAGCAAGCCCGACCACACGACAATACGTTAGTCGAGTTGATGGTGACATAACACGGATCTTCACGGGTATACCTTCTCAAGTCCCGGGAGTGAAAAACTGACAGTACTCTGTAGAAACATCAACCTCCTATCTGTAGAGGATTACAAGAAGGATCACGTTGATTCTTGAATGATTTGGTGAATGTTTACAATTCAACACTCTCTTCTCTCCAGGAGGAACATGCTCCGTTAGGAATGTTCGAACCAAGACACAAGCCCCTTGCCACAGCGAGCATTTCTTGACTACTAAATCTCAGAGAAGGGCTCCAGAACGACAGCGCAGACAATTAAAATAAATCGACTTTCAAGTCAAGAATGAAGTAATTATTTTAATAAAGGCGAAATCAGAACATTGTATAGATCAAAAGGCCCCAAATTTGCAGGGGACACCAGGTTTTGTTCTCTCACCTGTTTGATCTGCAAATCCAAGGCTCACCCTATACTCCAGATAGATGACCTACATTAACTGAGAAATGATTATGCTGAGTATCATGTGAATCAAAGAATGGCACAATTTGTCCGTATCTTATGAAGAGTCTCCCGAAACTGTTTTCAATACCGATGTCAGTCTCAGTGACCAGATATTGGATACGTTGAAACGATTTCCCAGAAGGTCTAGAGCTCATTAAGAGTCTTAAACAACTTGTGACCTAAGTTGCCAACCAAGTTAATGAATCGTAACTTGAATGTGTTACTTCTGTCATTACAGAATAATACATAAGAGTCAAAAAACTCAGGAATGGTTCTAAGGGGTTTCAATCTAACCTTAGTTACACAGCTTTTGAAAACGTCTGATCTTGACACCAGTCCCTTAAAACGCTATCATCCCACGTCAGATCTGCCTTTCCTGTCGACGATCATAGGAAAAGGCAGTGAAACCTCGACTTATCAATCATCTTTCTACTCCTGAGCTTATGTACAAATATCAGTCGTCATACAGAGGTTCCCATAGTACCGACACGGGTCTTCTATGTGCTGTCAGTGGAGTTCATCAAAGTGTTGATGCCAGCAACATTGCTCGACTTGGTCTACCGGACGGCGTTCTCGCTGTATTGTCAACCATAACAGAGTACTAAATACATAAGCCATTATCACCACACCTGTTGTCACCACACCTACTTGTGTGATCAATTTCAATCTGTAATAACTGAAAACATTACCTCCGAGAAATAGAAACTATCAAGTGGTTTGCCACAAGGATTCGTGCTTGGAATAGTCCAATTTACTGAGTACAAACGGCAACTCGGTAGTCGTATTGACAAATGCGATGTTAGACGTCACTCCGTGTGATCTTTCAGTCTTGTCAAGAATTGACTACTTCAGTATTCTATGTTCTTCAACATTGTTTGTGTGTGTGACTTGCTTGATAAAGGTGCTGGCATCTATACTGCAAGTCGTGAATCCATAACATGTTGTCTTCTTCATACCAGCTTCTAAATGCCACTTACAGAGGTAGCACTCACTTGTCAGCAGAGAAATTATGAAAATGTACAGTACATGACAGAAAAACTCACATGAAGAAATATTGAGATACCCGCAATCCGTTATATCATATATAAGGATAGCAGCAGCTCCTGAAATTCGAATTTCAAATGTTAAGTGTGTCAACCAATGGTTAGTAAGCATTCAGTTAACGTTCGTATGATATCAAACATTCCATAACTGTCACACAGTCTGATTATCCAGTTATAAAAATAATGAATGGCAGTTGTTTGGGATAATTCGATGTGATGCATTGTGAACAAAATACTTGACATGAAAGCTGATGCCGTTATAAACTACCTTGATCATCTAATTAGCATAAAGTTTCAAACGGCTTCATGTCACAAATATGAGCTGTGGGATAGCCTGAGTGATAACGTTTGGCACTTTATGTGGGACAGCCGGGGTCGAATCTGCAGAAATACTTCTAAATGAGACCATTTATTATCCCAGTGTATGTCTTTCAGAAATATCCACAACCAGTGTCCTGTCAGCGTCCAGTGTCACCGTCGCCCATAATGCGGCGTCAACGGAGGCGTCCACCGCCACGTCGGTTGATTCTGGTTATTTAACCGGTGCTTCGTCAGTTGTACTCACAGATCACTCAAGCGGCAGCATCACTGCATCGTTCACACCAACACCGTTCACTGCGACGCCGTTAGGGTATACATCTCCGTTACCGACGCTGTCCAAAATGGTAACATCGTCTTCAGCGACTGTACCAAAGATAACGTCAACGCTTGATGTGCTGTTATCAACGTCATATCACATCAACGATGCATCTGTACTTCTTGTCAGATGTTTCCATGTTAATGTAACGCGTTCTTCAGAAGAGTATACTAAAAATATTCCAATCACCAAGAGGTTTGCGCCCGGAGCCGAAAGAAGCAAAGGGAGGTGAAGCTCTAGGAGCAGTAGCTATAATAATACTGGTGTCAGTATGTTGTGTATTGTTGTTATTGATTTAATGAGCATTCAAAGGCATTGCAGCACCCTTAAGTCAAATCTGCGGGACATGAAGATGCGATGTCGGGAAGTTACCGATGATGACGTTGTGCATGTTGAAGATACCAGCAGGAAAGGAACGACGGCAGCTAACGACAATGTCAAGGTCGCCACAATTTTCCAAATCTCCAGAACATGAGGTATTTTAGTGCTGTAATGATACTGCTGGAACATACCATATATGTGCTATTATGACACAGTGAAAGTGAAAATACATAAGCTCCACAATGGACGCTGTGTAGACTGTATGTTGAACACATATGATATAATTCTTAAATTTAATATATCTTTCTGACGACTATAAGTGTTATTATTTCGATGATAATAAATATTCATTTTAACCTATTGCCTGAGGATGATGATACGATGATGATAGTGATGATGATACCAAACATTAGTTTTCCTCAGTAAATATGTCATGTACAAGATTGGTTCCACGGGAAGCCCTCGGGAAATATCCAAGGTTCATCTCATCACCTGCAGGAGTTGCCTATAGTTGGTATCCTGCGTGTGGAGTAAGCTGCTCAGAGAAAATGCCTGCAGGTGAACTCATATTTCCTTCATGTGTTGCTACTAAATAACATCTTCTTCGAGAACTTCGTTCATATATGAGTGTGTAATTTCATGAATGTATCTCATTGTACATTTGACGAATTGTAAATAATATCTAAAATGTCCTGTATTGTTGAAGCCTTGTTTTCGCTCAGACCTGATACCTCGTTGGCAACAGAGCGATCGTTTTAAAAATAACGGACAAGCTGACCCTGGCGTAACCAGCAGAAAATAACAGTCGATTGAATTCTAGCATAAAGGCATTTGAAATGAGCCAAATGGTGCTAAAATGTACCATCATTTGGGGAATATGAACAATTCCAGTTCAATCATCCTGTAGAAACTGGTCGTCGGGATGTTAAAGGCACCGGTGGGAACGTCATGGTATCTCGGTTATTCGACAGCTACTACTATCTTTGTCTTTGTTAATTGTGGATCTGAATATATTGCATCTAGTTATGATGAATGAGTGAGGAGTGAGTTTAGTTTTACGCCGCACTCAGTAATATTCCAGGTGTATGGCGGCGGTCTGTAAATAATCGAGTCTGGACCAGACAATCCAGTGATCAACAGCATGAGAATCGATCTGCGCAATTGGGAACCGATGACATGTGTCAACCAAGTCAGCGAGCCTGACCACTAATCCGTTATGATGAATGCACTTACCTATATAAATACAGGAATCTCTTGAGCACAACAAACGTTTCCATTGTAAAGGAACATTTTGAATTTATGTCAGTATTAACAGTAAATGTACCACATAGCTGCCTGTGCGGTTGCGTTAAGTATTGTTGTGTGATAATTGTTTATATATGCTCTTGAACAACCGTCCCTGTTGGAAAATAAAAAAAATAAACGACATGTTCCAGGTGTAACCATAGCATCCATATCCCGTGAAGGAGCGGGTTCGGACATGCGCAGAACGTCTGTCGGGAGTTGCAGACCTGGTACCCTGGAATGGCTTGGTTTGGCTGCACTACATATAGAGCACGTGCAGCCATTCCATGGGAACAGGCTGCAGCAGCTGTTGGCATGGGTTCGGAATGCACCACAACCATCATCTAGCATATCACATACACCTGTCCCTATCCACTATCGCAATCAGTGTCACGAGGCATAACGCCATTACAAATCATGTGCCTATGCTCTGTCCCTATGGCCTAAGTGAGTGAGTTTTAGTTTTACGCCGCTTTTAGCAATATTACGGCAAGGGACACCATGACTGGGCTTCACATATTGTGCCTATGTGGGGAATCGAACCCGAGTCTTCGGCGGGACGAGCGAAGGCTTAACCACTAGGCTACCCCAACGCCCCCTTTCCCTATGAAGCTGTGTAAGTGAGAGGGTGTGTTTCTACGGTGTAGCCAGGACAGGGATGCATCCCTGTGTCGTTTCTTTTATTCCTCTCCAGACATGGAACCGCTTCCACTTCAACAGTGATGCTGATTATTGCACTGTATACTGAATGGCATTTGGGTTGACGATATCAAGTGTTAACATTAGGTGTTAATTGATAAAGCATTCTTTCATCAACTAAAAACATAATACAATAGAAACTGAGAGTTGTGAGATTTTTCTTACACAATAGTGCACAGGTATTACAGAAGTGATTCAAAGACATTTGACTAGCTATCAAAACATCAGTAGTGTTTTCTAACTGACTGGCAAATGAGTAGCGGGGTATATTATTGCATTTGTGGAGGTATAAACGGGAAATATACGATCTGCACACTTTAGGTTCATCTGCGTCTTGTCCTCGTTACAAGCAATGAAAGTAGAAGTGACTAAATGTGGGTACAGTGGCTGGTGGTTAGTTACTACAGTGGATGTTGTTACAGTGGTGGTGGTGGTTAGTTACTACAGTGGATGTTGTTACAGTGGTGGTGGTGGGTAGTTACTACAGTGGATGTTGTTTACAGTGTGGTGGCGGGTAGTTACTACAGTGGATGTTGTTACAGTGGTGGTGGTGGGTAGTTACTACAGTGGATGTTGTTACAGTGGTGGTGGTGGGGTAGTTACTACAGTGGATGTTGTTACAGTGGTGGTGGTGGTTGAGTTACTACAGTGGATGTTGTGGTTAAAGTGGTGGTGGTGGGTAGTTACTACAGTGGATGTTGTTACAGTGGTGGTGGTGGGTAGTTACTACAGTGGATGTTGTTACAGTGGTGGTGGTGGGTAGTTACTACAGTGGATGTTGTTACAGCAGTGGGTGGTGGGTAGTTACTACAGTGGATGTTGTTACAGTGGTGGTGGTGGGTAGTTACTACAGTGGTGTTACAGTGGTGGTGGGTGTAAGTAGTTACACAGTGGATGGTGGTTACAGTGGTGGTGGTGGGTAGTTACTACAGTGGATGTTGTTACAGTGGTGGTGGTGGGTAGTTACTACAGTGGATGTTGTTACAGTGGTAGTTGTGGGTAGTTACTACAGTGGATGCTGTTACAGTGGTGGTGGTTGGTAGTTACTACAGTGGATGTTGTTACAGTGGTGGTGGTGGGTAGTTACTACAGTGGATGTTGTTGCAGTGAGGTGGTGGGTAGTTACTACAGTGGATGTTGTTACAGTGGTGGTGGTGGGTAGTTACTACAGTGGATGTTGTTACAGTGGCTGGTGGGTAGTTACTACAGTGGATGTTGTTACAGTGGTGGTGGTGGGTAGTTACTACAGTGGATGTTGTTACAGTGGTAGTGGTGGGTAGTTACTACAGTGGATGTTGTTACACAGTGGCTGGTGGTTAGTTACTACAGTGGATGTTGTTACAGTGGTGGTGGTTTGGTAGTTTACCTACAGTGGATGTTGGTTGCAGTGGTAGTGGTGGGTAGTTACTACAGTGGATAAGTGTTACAGTGGTGGTGGAGTAGTTACTACAGTGGATGTTGTTAGTTACAGTGGTGGTGGGTAGTTACTACAGTGGATGTTACAGTGGTGGTGGTGGGTAGTTACTACAGTGGATGTTGTTACAGTGGTAGTGGTGGGTGCAGTTACTACAGTGGTAGTGGTGGGTAGTTACTACAGTGGATGCTTATTACAGCAGTGGTGGTGGGTAGTTACTACAGTGGATGTTGTTACAGTGGTGGTGGTGGGTGGTTACTACAGTGGATGTTGTTACACAGTGGTGGTGGTGGTAGTAGTTACTACAGATGGTTGTTACAGTGGGTAGTGGTGGATAGTTACTACAGTGGATGTTGTTACAGTGGTGGTGGTGGGTAGTTACTACAGTGGATGTTGTTGCAGTGGTAGTGGTGGGTGAAGTTACTACAGTGGATGTCGTTACAGTGGTGGTGGAGTGGTTACTACAGTGGATGTTGTTACAGTGGTGGTGGTGGGTAGTTACTACAGTGGATGTTGTTACAGTGGTGGTGGTGGGTAGTTACTACAGTGGATGTTTGTTACAGTGGCTGGTGGTTAGTTACTACAGTGGATGTTGTTACAGTGGTGGTGGTTGGTAGTTACTACAGTGGATGTTGTTACAGTGGTTGTGGTTACAGTGGGTGGAGGGTAGTTACTACAGTGGTTGTGGTTACAGTGGGTGGAGGGTAGTTACTACGGTGGTTGTGGTTACAGTGGGTGGAGGGTAGTTACTACGGTGGTTGTGGTTACAGTGGGTGGCGGGTAGTTACTACAGTGGTTGTGGTTACAGTGGGTGGTGGGTAGTTACTACAGTGGTTGTGGTTACAGTGGGTGGAGGGTAGTTACTACAGTGGTTGTGGTTACAGTGGGTGGAGGGTAGTTACTACAGTAGCTGTGGCTACGATTGTAAGTTGTTACTTGCTGCAGTCGATGTCCACAGTGTGGACAGGAAAAGATGATTTTTGTTGTAGTTGTGGTAAGTAGTTTCTGCAGTAGAGGTTGTTGAAGTACGAGGTGTTTCGCTAATATAGGACACGTGATTGCAGAGAGGCATAGCGGGAAACAGGGTACATCGTGAGCGTTTATAAAAGACATGAAATAGCAAATACAAAACGAAAGATGAACAAATATATATCAACTATATAGTTAACTGAACTTTACCATGGACATATACGTACATGTTCAAAAATGACTCAAAGGAAACTTTAACGTTTGACGGTCACGTATAACTTTTGACCTTCTTTATCTGGTCACTTTGGAGGCAATGACGTCATAAAACATAAATGCGTTAGGAACCTTTAAAACCATTCAAACCTATCTAAAAGAGCAGTGCCAATTCTACAAACCCGACTGCACTATTAACGTGTGCTTCTGTGAGTCACTATCAAACAAGTGATGACACCAGGTGTTCGCGAGAGGGTCAGCGCGTTCTGACCCACCCGTGGTACCCGTCATAACAAATGTAAACTAGACAAGTAATTTGTTCACACGAAAATACACAGGAACGTATAGTACAAAGTGAAACTTAGGGAGACTATCGAGGGCATCGTTATTGTCACTGATTACCGCGCTTCATGTGAGTAAGAATGATTTACGCCGCCGCTAGCAATATTCCAGCAATATCACGGCGGGGACAGCAGCAAAAATGGGCTTCTACACGTTGTACCCACATAATGGGATAGATCAGTGAAATTGCATGCGTAGAATGATATAATAATGATTCAAAGAGTCGTCATTCC